CCAGACATGTTCAGAACATCAGTGTACCATGATATTTCTTGTTAGGAAGATTTCTTAGAATAAGTGACCTACCAAAGCAACTATTTTAAAGCATGATAAAATGACAGAAGGGTTGATCAACTCATTAAACTCAAGTGCTATTGTCTGTAAGCCTCTGCTGAAGACAAGCGTAGCGTTAATCAATACCATTATAAGATCAATAGCATTTCAGAGGCCAGAGATCAACTCAAAGATCAATAATCAGCTTTACCGACTGAAACCAGCTTAAAAAAAAGCTATGAATAATTAAACAATGCAACAAACATTCGAGACTAAATGAAAAAAACACCAGTCTTCATGTGCTTCTAGACAGCACTGAGGGTCCGTAATCAGATTACTTTTTCCAAGTAACTAAAGTAACATATACAAGAAGATATATAGAATATCAAATAACTTTTTGACGTTTATTTAAAGGTGCACAGACTGAGGTTTATTCATTTCACTTTTAATGTGAAAGTGCAGTTTATGGTTGACAAAAATAGAACTTTTGGGTTTTTTCTGATTAAAAATAAATAAGCAAGCCCAGCCCAAGTGACCAAAAGTAACAAAAGTAACGCAATTAGTTACTTTTTTTATGAAGTAATGCATTACTTTTAAAAGTAACTGGTTACCAGTGTGTTACTTTGCATTACTTTTTAAATCTGGGCAGGGCTTGCTTGTTTGATTTTAATATAAAAGTTCTGTTTTTGGCAAATAAAGCACTTTCACACCAAAAGTCATATTTATCATTTAAGTATTGCATGTTTGTGTCACATTCGGTGTTGCATTTCACCATTTTTATTCATTTTGAGGAATACTGAATCAGTTTTTTTGTGAGCGAGATGAATTATTCTAGAACTAAAGTAACATCTTATGATTTCTCTCAGCATTGGGGACGGAAGAGCTGTCAATCAATAAATGTGAAAAATGTGAAATTTTTTATTTGAAAAAGTAACCGAAATTTTCTTGTAAATTAAAAAGTAATGCGTTACTTTTAAAAAGTATTCTGATTACGTAACTGGCGTTACTTGTAATGTGTTACCCAGCACTGCTGGTTACAGGTGAGTGTGATTGTAATATGCAAACTCACACTTATAATACTCACACTTGTGGACAGCAGCACGATTAATTGTTAACTTTCCCCGTAATAATCGCTCAGGATAAAGATGAAACGCTGCAAACGAACACAGTTCCTGCCGCACCTCAGAGAGATGCTCATTAAGACAAACCTCCATGGCCTTTGAAGTTCCTACATCTCGCCTCAAGACACAATCAAGTGCTGGAGAGCAGCAGTGTTTCGGCCGCGTGTGTTTAACAAGCCCCATCTGATTCCCACAGACCTGTCCCAGAAGAGTTCAGACGCCTCATGACCCCAGAGGTTATTCTCAGCACATGGCCTTCGATTAACCACTCACATGGAAAACAGAGGAATGTTCACAACATTCTGCAAGTGCTAAAGGCATCAGACCGGGGCTAGTTGTCACAGGCTCTAGCAGTGCTTTTGTACTATGATATGTGACCCTGGAGCACAAAACCAGTCAGAAGGGTCAATTTTTTGTAACTGAGATTTTTAACAATCTGAAAGCTAAATAAATATAAGCTTTCCATTGATGTGTGGTTTGTTAGGATCGGACAATATTTGGCTGAGATACAACTATTTGAAAATCTGGAATCTGAGGGTGCAAAAAAATCTAAATATTGAGAAAATCATCTTTAAAGTTGTTCAAATGAAGTTCTTAGCAATGCATATTACTAATCAAACATTACGTTTTGATATATTTACGGTAGGAGATTTACTAAATATCTTCATGGAACATGATCTTTACTTAATATCCTAATGATTTTTGGCATAAAAGAGAAATGTATAATTGTGACCCATACAATGTATTGTTGGCTATTGCTACAAATATCCCCCAGCGACTTAACACTGCTTTTGTGCTGCAGGGTCACATTTATCTAATTCAAAAAGGTCTAAAATCAGGATAATATTGTGAATTCTGTCTCCAATATCATCATCATAATTTTCTAATAGTTGAACACAATAAAGCCACACTGACGTATATTACGATGACTGACTATATAACTGAAGTGGTTGAATTTTGTTGCCCCGGGGCAAGTTGTCACACATTTAACTGGAACCCCCCCCCAAAAAAAACACTAAGCCCAAAACTCATGAGCTAATTTGACAAATCCAAACAAATTAATAATAATAGCAATAGTGGAACGTTCACACATTTAAACACCATGTAAATGCATTTTCTTTCCTGCACCACTGACATGATGCACGTTTATGACTGTCATTATGAATAACAGCTAGTTAAAGAAATAATTAATCTAAAATGCTATTCTTGTGTTGAACCACAAACCAGCCCAGTGTTTTCCTCAGATCTACTCACATCTAAAAAAAAACACTAAGCCCAAAACTCATGAGCTAATTTGACAAATCCAAACAAATTAATAATAATAGCAATAGTGGAACGTTCACACATATAAACACCATGTAAATGCATTTTCTTTCCTGCACCACTGACATGATGCACGTTTATGACTGTCATTATGAATAACAGCTAGTTAAAGAAATAATTAATCTAAAATGCTATTCTTGTGTTGAACCACAAACCAGCCCAGTGTTTTCCTCAGATCTACTCACATCTGCATCTGGCTCCCCGCGGTCAATCATGAAGGATGAACAGTTGAGGACACTGACAATCACAAAATCTCATTAGATTGCACCAAAACCTCCTGTCAGAAGTTGCTGTATACGTTATCAATTATATTTATTTAGCTGTATCTGATCATTAACTGTATAGTCTGTTTTGAGTTTCACAGCCTGATGATTCCTTCACATCTCCAGATGCAAACAGCTCCATTATTCCCTCTTACTGAGCATCTGCTGCTTTTAAAGTCACCTGCTTCACATTTGCATTAAGAGCCTTCGGGTGTTTCCAATCACTGCGACCTGAAAACAAGCATCAGTCACACTGTTAATGATTACACAACATCATTAGTGCTAACAGCCAAAACCTCATGAAGTAATCAAACACATTGTCTTTAAAACACACTGTTAAAAGAAATAGTTCAGCCAAAAATTAAAATGTGTTGAAAATATACCCATGTACTGTTTATCTGAGATCAGGATGAGTCTGTTTCTTCATCAGGTTTGTAGAAATGTAGCATTGCATCAGTGTCTCAGCAGTGGATGCTCTGCAGTGAATGGGTGCCGTCAGAATGAGAGTCCAAACAGCTGATAAAAACATCACAATAATCCACAAGCAATCCACAGCACTCCAGTCCATCAGTGAACATCTGGAGAAGACAAAAGCTGAAACTAATCCAGTTTTAAGACACTTTTAACTAAAACACGAGTCCATAATTCCATCCAACAAAAATGTTCTAAGAATGTAGTGTTTAGCATTTGACAACCTTTGAAGAATGTTTTTTTTTTCTTGGTTATGCGAACATTAAGGAAACATTCCATTGTATCATTTTGCAAACATTATGGGAATGTTACTTTTGAATGTTCTGAAACAAGCAGCAACATTTAAAAAACGTTAGATGAGCGTTCATCTGAAACAAAGTTCCACGAATGATGTATGAATAACGTTTTGAGAACATTATTATAAACCAGATCACTTTCATTCTGTTAATGTTACTGGAAGAAAGTCTGTTTATAACGTTGAGCGAACATTGCCAGAACGTTCTCAAAACGCTCCTTGTTAACTGGATAACTCTTCCTCCAGTGAAGACGTGTTCTGGTGTGAATCAAGAGAGAAATCTGCACAGATCAAGCAGCGTTTAAACGCACACACACACGCTCACTCACTCACTCGCTCACACACTCACACACTCGCACACACAACACACTCGCACACACAACACACTCGCACACACACACGCTCACTCACACGCTCACTCACACGCTCACTCACTCACTCACACACACAACACACGCTCACTCACACGCTCACTCACACACTCACACACACAACACACTCGCACACACACACGCTCACTCACTCACTCACTCACGAGCAAATCCTGTAGTCGCTGTTCGCCTGTTTGTGTTTGCGTACACATAGCACCGTGACCGAGAGAAACCTCTCATAGACGCCGGCGACTGCGTTTGATTGTCGCGTGGTTGAGTTTGAGAAGGAAAAGGAGAGGGTTTAAAGGCAGAAGGGGAACCTGACGGAGACGAGGCCGTAGGGTGATTAGCACTAACGGAGGCGTTGGGAATGCATGGATACAGTAGATTCATCTGTGCTTCATGTGTCTCCCGCCGGCGGCTGGTGTTTATCCTCGGCGTGTTTGAACATCAGGATGGAGTTGTAGATCTTGAGGGCCGGGCCGAGCTTCATGCTCATTATCTTAACGATGTCTCGCTGCGTCAACAGAAGAAAGGCCTTCCCGTCGATTTGCTGGTGAGGGAGTCAGCAGAAAACATTACAGAGTCAGTGTGTTTAACCATCATATAAAGCTGCTAATGAACACTAACGACACTATGAAATCATAATGTGATCTTAAATATGACAAAATGAACTTTAAGCTGATGCAGTTAAACTGTATTTACAGTCTCTCTTCCTTGAAAACTGATGCTTGCAGACAGCTAGAAAAATAAATAAATATTCTCTGAAAATGTACTCTTTAGTTTATAAAAAAATATATGAGAAAAAAATTAATACTTCTATTCATCAAGGATGCATTAAACTGATCAAAAGTGACAGTAAAGACATTTATAATGTTACAAAACATTTCTGTTTCAAATAATCACCCACTCACTCACACACTCACACACTCACTCACACACTCACTCACTCACTCACTCATGCTCACACAACACATTCGCACACACACACGCTCACTCACACTCGCTCACTCACACTCGCTCACTCACACGCTCACTCACTCACTCACTCGCACACTCGCACACTCGCACACTCGCACACACAACACACTCGCACACACAACACACTCGCACACACACACGCTCACTCACTCACTCACACACTCGCACACACACACGCTCACTCACTCACTCACTCACGAGCAAATCCTGTAGTCGCTGTTCGCCTGTTTGTGTTTGCGTACACATAGCACCGTGACCGAGAGAAACCTCTCATAGACGCCGGCGACTGCGTTTGATTGTCGCGTGGTTGAGTTTGAGAAGGAAAAGGAGAGGGTTTAAAGGCAGAAGGGGAACCTGACGGAGACGAGGCCGTAGGGTGATTAGCACTAACGGAGGCGTTGGGAATGCATGGATACAGTAGATTCATCTGTGCTTCATGTGTCTCCCGCCGGCGGCTGGTGTTTATCCTCGGCGTGTTTGAACATCAGGATGGAGTTGTAGATCTTGAGGGCCGGGCCGAGCTTCATGCTCATTATCTTAACGATGTCTCGCTGCGTCAACAGAAGAAAGGCCTTCCCGTCGATTTGCTGGTGAGGGAGTCAGCAGAAAACATTACAGAGTCAGTGTGTTTAACCATCATATAAAGCTGCTAATGAACACTAACGACACTATGAAATCATAATGTGATCTTAAATATGACAAAATGAACTTTAAGCTGATGCAGTTAAACTGTATTTACAGTCTCTCTTCCTTGAAAACTGATGCTTGCAGACAGCTAGAAAAATAAATAAATATTCTCTGAAAATGTACTCTTTAGTTTATAAAAAAATATATGAGAAAAAAATTAATACTTCTATTCATCAAGGATGCATTAAACTGATCAAAAGTGACAGTAAAGACATTTATAATGTTACAAAACATTTCTGTTTCAAATAAACACTGTTCTTCTGAACTTTCTGTTCACCTGTGAATCCTGAAAAATAAAATGTATCACGGTTTCCACAAAATGATTGTGCAGCACGATATTGTAATTATTTAAAACTTTAATCTCTCTCATAATTTTGCTTCTCAAGTTAAGTTTGTTGTGATTCTTTTACTTGAAACAAGAGACACAAATAGTAATTAGGAACATTTGTTCACAGTGGAGCAAATGTGATTTAAAATGCATAAGAGTGTAGTGAAAGAGTACTGTGCTTGATTTAAAGCTGCTGTGGCTGTAAGTGGAAAAAGAATCACATTTGAAACTCGTTAAATTGCTCCTCAGCTCCACACGTACCTCCTCTCTGAACTGCTTGGCCTGTTCCTCACAGCCGGGTAAAGAATGGATGAAATCAGCCACCTGAAACACACACACACACACACACACACACACAGTTTCATCTTCACTCTTGTTTTAGAGGTTCTCAACAGGATAGAATCAAGGTTACATTGTGACGGAACTTCTGCGTTACTTAGCAACTGTAAACAGCTGCAGTTACATTACACATTTCACTTTATTCTAATTATTAATACATGTAACTATTGTGAACACTGTTGTCTACTGTATCGTCATATTTATGTAGTGGATAATTATAAATCAAAACTATTTTAACATGTTTAAAGGGGTCTGTGCCGGAGAACAAAAATATAATGATAATACTAATAATATTTAAAAAATTGTGCTGTCAAACGATTAATCGCAATTAATCGCATCCAAAATAAAAGTTTTTATTTACATAATATATCTGTGTACACTGTGTATATTTATTATATATATATATACACATACAGTATATATTTCACATCTATATATTTATATTAATTTAATTTATATTATATATAAATATATTTAAAATATAAACGTAACAGTACGTACACACATACTTTGTGAACAAAAACTTTTATTTTGGATGCGATTAATCGTTTGACAGCACTAAAAAAAAAAAACGAAATAACAATATAAAATATATTATACATAAAATTACTTGTGTATCATATTGAAGTAGTGGGTAAATTATTATTATAATTAAAAATAATTTTTATCACAGTTAAAGTGGTCTCTGTCCGAGAACAAAAAAATTATAAAATAAATATAAAAATATAATATACATTATTATATAAATTATAAATTAACAACATAAAATATATATATTTATTATACATAAAATTACAAAAAATAACTTGATAGCTTTTTATAAAACGCCCACTAAGGCACCAGTGCTCATGAAATAGTAATAATAATTAGAATCAATAATTCTAATTCCATATTTTAGACCTGACGAAACGCTGTTTTAAACACAGAATCTGTCAAATCTTAATTTAGCGATACAGGCGTATGGTCAAGTAAAAGCAGCATCTTGTGTGTGCATCTGAAGTGTGACGCTGATGAAGCGAGCGTGTTCTCGCCGCAGGAGCAGGTCAGCTGAGGTTTGAGCGAGAGACTCAGAAACATTCTGCAGCGTCAGCGGAGCTGAAATATCCTGCAGCGTTTACTCAGGAACACACTCAGGCGTGTCTGCTATGCTCAGGGATCTCCAACAAACAACCGCGGCTAAGAATAACCCGTCTGAAGCGTCGCCGCAGTCTCTGAAGAACTTCACTGATGTGCTTTTTGACCCTGTAGATGTTCTCACTCAGAAGCTCACAGTACAATTACATGAAGAGCGTCTCTGGAGCCGCGCCGGACTTTAATTAAACAGAAAAACTCCAGAGAGCATCTTTGGAACAACATCTCAATTTATTACAAAACCGCCGCCAAGATGCAGCAGACCGACCTTCTCTGGTCCTCTCAGCTAATATCCAGAGCATATCTGCATTGATTTCCCAGCAAAAACATCTGTATCAGGATGCAGTGATTACATTAGTGTTACTCAAACGCATCTACACCTGACTGACAGACAGCAGCATTAACCCACAGAACGTTCCCATAATGTTTTATTTTAACTTTCAGTATGTTGCCGGGAGGTTTGGTTTTTGTGAGAGCAAAAGGGAATGTTCCCTACAGGTTATTTTTAGGTGCTGAAGAAATGTGAAATCTGGATTATTACAGTAAATATACTAGAAAACCGCCTATGTAAATGAACAAGTTAAATCTTACATATGAATTAATTCCAGTGTATGATGGTTGATGCACTCGGATTATTTCACTAATTAAACAATAGATCAAAACAAGACATGTTTGTATAGTTCTGATTATTGGCATTCATTCATTCATTCATTCAAAGCGTGTTCTATAAAGGTTCGCGAGAGCGCTGGAAGATTACTGATGTACAGCAGGGTAAAATAATATTGGCATAAAGAGGTTAGAGGAATGTTAGGACAATGTTAGCTGAAAGTTAGTAATGTTCTACAAACCCAAAACAAAATTCTATTTACATGAAGAGAACTATTCAGGGGAGTGTTTCCCAAAAGCAACTATGGTCGGAAGTTCCACCGTTACCAATAGAGTTCAATAGAACTTACCACTATAGTTAGCTAATCATGCTTTTGGGAAACGCACGCCTGGATAATTATCTTCAATTAAAAACGTTCTGGGAACAAAAACTAACATTCCGGAAACCAAAAAAACATTCCCAGAACGTTCTGGGAACAAAAAAAAAACATTCTGGGAACCAAAAACTAACATTGCTGGAAAAATCTTGGAACCAAAAATTAACGTTCTCGGAACCAAAAAGTAAAATTCCCAGAAAGTTCTGGGAAGCAAAATCTAACATTCTGGGAACCAAAAACTAACATTGCTGGAAAAATCTTGGAACCAAAAATTAACGTTCTCGGAACCAAAAAGTAAAATTCCCAGAAAGTTCTGGGAAGCAAAATCTAACATTCTGGGAACCAAAAACTAACATTGCTGGAAAATTCTTGGAACCAAAAACTAACGTTCTGGGAACTACAAAGTAAAATTCCCAGAACGTTCTGGGAACCAAAAACTAACATTCTGGGAACCAAAAACTAACATTGCCGGAAGATTCTTGGAACCAAAAACTAACGTTCTGGGAACCAAAATTTAACATTCTTGGAAACAAAAACTAACATTCCCAAAACGTTCTGGAAACAAAAAAAACTAACATTCCAGGAACATTCTGGGAACCAAAAACTAACATTCCCAGAACGTTCTGGAAACCAGATCTTAAGGCCTGTTTGTTCCCGCTAATGAAGACGCTGCAGATGTATTCAGTCCTGCAGGGAGAGATGAATGCTTGGGCTCTTTATTACCATCACACTCTTTTATCAAAGGCTTCAAATGAAATATTGGAGCGATCTAAAATTCACCCGGGAATCGATCGGGCTTTCATAGAGCACAGGAATAGAACAGGAACTCTTGGCTGGATCCATTAGATGTTCTGACCGCAGTGTTTACGTCACATCATTTACAGCACTCGTGTTTGTCTGAAATGCTAATGGCTTTCTACAGTTAAAAGACCTCAAACCACAACAGCCAATCAGACGACAGCAGAGCCACACCCTGCTTAGCAAACAAGCACAGTTGACAGGAATTATCACTTGCACAATCGAGGTAGTGTCACATCGTCACTAAAGTTTATAAATTGCATTACTTTTTAATTCTTGCCAGTTTAACCATTCAGTGCTCGCGCGCTCTCCTGGAGACTGAGCTCATGCACACTCGCAGCGCACACACATAACGCCAGGTTCACACACACGCCGTTTGCAAAATCCCGATTGGAGCACCCCTATTAATACAGTCAATAACATTCACTAAAACAAACTTCAGATGTTGTAATCTTGAACTTACTTCAGACTCAGCCGGAACTGCAACCACATCAGACTCACGCTCACCTAAACATGAACGATTCCCTCTGCACTTTATCTGTTAAACCACACTAATAATCTTGGAACCAAAAACTAACATTCCTGGAATGTTCTGAAAACCAAAAACTAACGTTCTCAGAACATTCTGGGAACCAGATTTTTTTCAGCTGGTAAGGCCTGTTTGTTCATCTATTTGTTCACTTCATCTGTTAAATCACACTAATAATCTTGGAACCAAACCCAACATTCCTGGAATGTTCTGGGAACCACAAACTACCAGATCATCGATCAACTTCATCTTCTCAAGATATCATTCCATCTAGATTTCTAAAACAGATTTGCAATACTGTTGGACACAATCTTTTAACTATTTTGAATACTAGTCTAATTACTGGGGTTGTTCCTGACTGCCTAAAAACAGCTACAGTAACTCCATTATTAAAGAGGCCCAATCTTGATTCCTTGAATTTTAATAATTTTAAGCCTATATCAAACTTGCTGTTTTTTTCTTCTAAGATTCTTGAGAAAGTTGTGCTGACCCCGCTGCAGTCCCATTTGATGTCAAATAATATTTTTGAAAATGTCCAATAGGGTTTTAAGTCTCAACACAGCACGGAAACTGCACTTTTAAAAGTTGTAAATTATATTTTACTTGAAACCGATAAAGGGAATGCTGTGGCTTTGCTGCTTTTAGACTTAAGCTCTGCATTTGATACGGTTGACCACAATATCTTGATTTCCAGGTTGGAGAGCTGTGTTGTGTTACAGGGCAAGGTGTTGAAATGGTTTCAATCTTTTTTTAACAAACAGAAGTTTTAGTGTTTCCATTGGCCAACATAGTTCGTCCTCACGCCCACTTGCTTGTGGGGTGCCACAGGGCTCAATTCTTGCCCCAGTTTTATTTTCTATATTTATGCTACCAATGGGTGCTTTCTTTGAGAAATATGGAGTGTCCTTCCACCTATACGCAGATGATACTCAACTGTATTTTCCCTTGCAGTATAAAAGTAAAGAATTATTAGGACCTCTGTTGGATTGTCTAAACGAATTACAAATATGGTTAAAGCAGAGTGTTAAACGAGAACAAAACTGAAATCATTTTGTTTGGTTTAAAGTCATATGAAGACTGTGCCCTTCACTTTGGTCATCTCTCTTCCTACTTTACACCCCGTGCTAAAAATCTTGGTGTTCTTTTTGATTGCAACCTGGGTTTTGAGAAACAAATTAGTGCAGTGGTCAAATCAAGTTTCTTTCACTTACGGCGTTTATCAAAAATCAAATCTTTACTCTCTGTAAAACAGTTTGAAACGATTCACTCGTTTGCTCTCTCTCGTTTAGATTACTGTAATTACCTATACTATGGTATAATAACATTCTGAAAACAAAAAACTAGCGTTCTCAGAACATTCTGGGAACCAGATTTTTTTCAGCTGGTAAGGCCTGTTTGTTTGTTTACTTCATCTGTTAAATCAGTAATAATCAGATTGTATTGAGAGTCGATGAGTGTAAATCCTGGTCATTATTCAGCATTAAACACAGCTCTGACTCCATCAATCCTGACTCAATTCCTCAGGAACAAACGAGCCCTTCAGTGCGAGTGTTTGCCAATAAATAAGGAGTGGTAAATCCTGCTAACACACCACAGTACAGCGCTGAACGCCGCTTCGCTCTCTGATTTTGCCTCTCTGATGCAGTGTATTACTGGGAGTTTATAGACCATCACTGACACACAACCACCACAAAACCTAAATCCTGGTCATTATTCAGCATTAAACACAGCTCTGACTCCATCAATCCTGACTCAATTCCTCAGGAACAAACGAGCCCTTCAGTGCGAGTGTTTGCCAATAAATAAGGAGTGGTAAATCCTGCTAACACACCACAGTACAGCGCTGAACGCCGCTTCGCTCTGCTGCTGCGTTTGCCTTCTCTAAAGGCCTCTCTGATGCAGTGTATTACTGGGAGTTTATAGACCATCACTGACACACAACCACCACAAAACCAGCATTAATTAAACACTTCATTAACAATAATAATAAACATAATCAGACAATATTTTAATAATCTGAGACTACCACATCAACCAAAACATCTCGTCAATTAATCATAAACAAGTTGCATAGAATTTTAAGCTTGCTAATATGTAATTTTGCTGTTATTAAATGTGACCCTGGACCCAAAGGCTCAAAAATAATCTTTCCATTGATGTATGGTTTGTTAGGATCGCACAATATTTGAAAATCTGGAATCTGAGGGTGCAAAAAAATCTAAATATTGAGAAAATCATCTTTAAAGTTGTTCAAATGAAGTTCTTAGCAATGCATATTACTAATCAAACATTAAGTTTTGATATATTTACAGTAGGAAATGTACAAAATATCTTCATGGAACATGATCTTTACTTAATATCCTAATGATTTTTGGCATAAAAGAGAAATGTATAATTGTGACCCATACAATGTATTGTTGGCTATTGCTACAAATATCCCCCAGCGACTCAACACTGCTTTTGTGCTGCAGAGTCACATGTTGCATTAAGCAAATATAATCTCTTTATAGCATCAGACAAGCTCTAAACACTACAAACTTCATAATAAACTGCACTACTGTTTAAATGTTTGCAGTCAATAAGATTTTTTAAGATATTGGATGCATTAAATTGATCAAAAGTGTCAGTAAAGACATAATGTGACAAAAGATTTCTATTTCAAATAAATGCTGTTCTTTGGAACTTTCTGTTCATCTGTGAATCCTGAAAAATAAAATATATCACGGTTTCCACAAAAATATTGTGCAGCACGACTGTTTTCAACATTGATAATAATCAGAAATGTTTCTCGAGCAGCAGATCAGCATATTATACTGATTTCTGAAGATCATGTGACACTGAAGACTGGAGGAATGATGCTGAAAATACAGCTGCGCATCACAGGAATACATTACAGTTTAACAGAGATTCACATAGAAAACAGCTGTTTTACATTACAATAATATTTCACTGTTTTTACTGCATTTTTTATCAAATAAATGCAGCCTTGGTGAACAGAAGCGACTTCTTTCAGAAACGATTTACTGACCCCAAACTTTTAAACATTAGCACATATAGAAAAGATCATGTAGATAATGATGAAGCACTGGTTTAACGTGTGACAACATCAACCGGAACACACACAACCTGTTCACCGCTGGGTCCTTGAGGGCCCACGGCCGATACTGACACCGCCTGTAGTTTAACCTGTGTTTATCTCTGCGCTCTGTTCACCTGGTGACCATGGCAACCAGCCCATCATGCACCCAGCGGCGTGAAGAGGCTCGATTTCACCTCCGCAACCCGACATTAGCACGACAACCAGCCCTAAACTACAGCACAGAGACAGCCACTCCACCGAGATACCAGAATGTGTTCATACTCGCAGATCACATGACCTACAGCCTCTGCGCTCCCATTGGCTGATGTCACATCACATCATTTGCATAAAGCTGAAATCTGCTCGACTGTAACATTGTGAAAACTGCAGCTCATGATGCTGAATGATTTCTGCCTACAGACTGCTGTCAGTATCGACACTTAATACTGATATTACAAATATACACTGTTTGAAAAATATTTAGGCCTAAATTTAAGATTTATGCATTTAAAATTGCATATCAAATTTCCATGAATTTGGATTACACAGTTTTAATAAACTAGCATAATGTGATCATATTTGTGAGTCGTACATCAATGAAACAAGTCAGATTTCTAAATAAATAAATAAATACATGAATAAATAAAAATCATGCCATAGTTTATTAACTATTTGCATCTATTTGACTGAATTGAAATAATTCCATTTTAAAATGCATTTATTCAAATTGCAATGTGTTCATGACTATTTTTTTCAGTTATAAAGTATAAATGTGGTGAAATATGGCTAGCTGTGTAACAAGCAATATTCGTTTAATTAAATTAAATTGAAACAAACTGACTTCTTTATGATAAATAAATAAAGTTGCTTATTGTGCATTTAAAACACTGAGTTTATTAACACTATTACAGAAATCTGACCCGTTTCATTGATGCACGACTGGCAAATATGATCACATTAAGTTTGTTAGTTTATGTTAAAACTCTCTAATCGAAATGCATGGAAGTTTTACATGCAACTCAAATACATTAAGCCTGAATATGTTTTCGAGTGTATACAAAACTGCAATGTTCACACAATGCCACATTCTTTAAGTAAAATCAAGCATAAGGGATGCATAGACAGATGAATTACTTCTTGGAAACCGATTGAATAGGAACAAATAAACCCTTATATGTGACTCTGGAGCACAAAAGCAGTGTTAAGTCGCTGGGGGATATTTGTAGCAATAGCCAACAATACATTGTATGAGTCACAATTATACATTTTTCTTGTATGCCAAAAATCATTAGGATATTAAGTAGGGATGCACGATATTATCGGACTGATATCGGAATCGGCCGATAATGGCTTTAAATGTAAATATCGGCATCGGCTCGATATGAAAAACGATGCCGATATGTCTTGCTGATAAGAGGAATGCATTAGCTCACATGTGCTCAGGGTGTGCTAGCGATTAGATCACATCAGCAGTGTGGCTCATTCTGGAAGCAAGGTTTTGTCTGAATGATGATTAGATTCACTCTTTTGGATCGCTGCTTTAATCTGTGAAGAGTAAACTGTAATAGCACGTGCAGTGGGTCCTAAAGCCGTTCGGTAAGGAGTTTTAATCTGTAGGGGGCGCTGTTGGCCTACTTCTAATTACATTAAAAGTAAAATGGCCTACACAAATAACATTTAGACTGTGTTTCTGATTAAATAAAGCAGTAATTGATGTCATAAAATATTGAGTATGTTTTGATTTAAAGGTCAGAATCTATAGCTTACATGAAAAAAAATTTGTAAATTAAATAATTTTATATATACTGATTTATTCATTAAAATGTAATACGTTTTATTTTTTTTAAACAAATCATGAGCTCTAAAAGATTTTCAGAATTTTTACAACTATTTTGCTTTAGACCATCTACAAATGTTAAATCTTAAAATAAAATGTTAGGGTTAACACTGCATCTTTCTTTTCAAAGCTTCAATGTACTCTCCAAAAACCTTCATTATAGTTTATTTAATTCTAACAAACAAGTTCTTGTTAAAAACTAAGCAAAATTACAAATATTTTGCTTATAATTTTTGCACAGGAGAGACTTGAAAAGGAAATATATCGGTATTGGCCAAAATGAGTTGAAAAATATCAGCATATCGGATATCGGCAAAAATCCAATATCGTGCATCCCTAATATTAAGTAAAGATCATGTTCCATGAAGATATTTTGTAAATTTCATACCGTAAATATATCAAAACTTAATGTTTGATTAGTAATATGCATTGCTAAGAACTTCATTTGGACAACTTTAAAGATGATTTTCTCAATATTTAGATTTTTTTGCACCCTCAGATTCCAGATTTTCAAATATTGTCCGATCCTAACAAACCATACATCAATGGAAAGCTTATTTATTCAGCTTTCAGATGATGTATACATCTCAATTTCACAAAATTGACCCTTATGACTGGTTTTGTGCTCCAGGGTCTCATATGAGCTGCACTCAACACTGAATGAGACGGAGCGCTCCTCACCTCCTCCACACTCCAGTGGGCGACGCGACTGGCCTGAACGCCGGCCACACCGGGCAGAAGCTTACAGTGCTGCTCCCAGCACAGCGGCAGATCACGGCTCGGGTGAGCAGACATCGCCGAGAGGAAGACGGACTGATGCAGCGCCTGCTGGAGATCGTCCACGTTACGCTCTGAAACACACACACATCAGCCATTTACCGCGGGAAATAACAAGAGCTTTTGGATCTACTCAACATAAGATTGTTTTTTTTCCAAATAGGGATAGTTCACCCAAAAATGAAGATTCTGTCATTAATTTCTCACCCTCATGTCGTTACAAACCTGAGATATTTTTGATGAATTCTGAGAGCTCTCTGACCCTGCAAAGATCCTTACACGATAAAGGTCCAGAAACGTAGTAAGGACATTGTTAAAATAATCCATGCGGCATCTCGTGGATATGTTGTTTAGGTTCAGATCAAAGAAAAAACTAAGTATCCATGTATCTACACTACCGGTATATTCTATTCAAAATGGAAATCTTTTCTAACAATATACACTACAGTTCAAAAGTTTGATTCTTTATTTTTTGAAAGAATTTAAAACTTTTATTCAGCACGGATGAGTTAAATTGATAAGAAGTGATAGCACAGCTTTATATTGTTAGAAAAGATTTATATTTTGAATAAATGCTGTTCTTTTTAACGTTTTATTCATCAAAGAATCCTGAAAAAAGTATCACAGTTTCCAAAAACATATTTGGCAGCACAACATTGATAATTCTAATAATAAATCAGCATATTAGAATGATTTCTGAAGATCATGTGACACTCATCCACTCATGTGGAAATTCAGCTTTGCATCACAGAAATAAATTATATGTTAAAGGATATTAAAATAGAAACCATTATTTCATATTGTAATAACATTTTGCAAGATTACTGTTTTTTTCTGTATTTTGGATCAAATAAATGCAGCTTTGATGAGCAGAAGAAACTTCTTTAAAAACATTACAAGTCTTACTGATCCCAAACTTTTGAGCGGTAGTGTATATACACACATGAACCACTGATGTCACATGGATTATTTTAACGATGTCCTTGCTACGTTTCTGTGCGTTGATCGTGTAAGGATCCTTGCTATCTATGGGAGGGTCAGAGAGCTTAGAATTCATCAAAAATATCTTAATTTGTGTTCCGAAGATGAACGAAGGTCTTACAGGTTTGGAACGACATGAGGGTGAGTAATTAATGACAGAATTTTCAGAGGTTTTCCTGCATGGGCCATCAAATCAACAGATAACAAAACTTTTTTTTTTTAATTCTCATTCCACGCTATTATAACCCAGTAAACACCTCCCTCAATCAATTAACTTCCCATGAAAAAGAAAGACTCGTGTTTTAGTTAAAAACGTCTTAATGCTGGATGTGTTTCAGCTTTTGTCTTCTCCAGATGTTAGCTGATGGACTGGAGTGCTGTGGATTATTGTGATGTTTTTATCAGCTGTTTGGACTCTCATTCTGACGGCACCCATTAACTCCATTGCTGAGACACTGATGCAGTGCTACATTTCTACAAACCTGATGAAGAAACAAACTCACATTTAAATTTTTAGGTGAGCTGTTCCTTTTATGTCAAAAGAGAAACGAAATCTCATGACGATGTTTTCTGAAATAATTCAGTAATTTCAAACATCAGATCTCAGACTGAGAGACAAATACTGAGGAGCCTCATGGGGTGCCAGTGCACAGGACACGGACATCATGAGATCGATGCGAGACAGACACGCACACACACACACACACACACACACACACACACAGCTGTGTTTCAGCAGGCGGGTGTTTGGCACGATGACATTCACTCCGATCTGCGTCGCCACCTGTGTCCCGTTACACAAGCCGTTGCCATGGCAATTGTCACAGTGCATCGTCGTCTGAGCAACTGTTTGCAATCTGTTGTGTCACATGATCAGGTCTGATGATGAGGACGCGAGCGGACAGCGTCTGCAACGATTAGAGTCTCACAGCTCACACATCACCGCAGGACACAAAAGAGCAGCACAACAGAGACAGAGAGAGAGAGAGAGAGAGAGAGAGAGAGAGAGAGAGTGTGTGTCTCAACTCATCACGTGCACACACACACACACACACACACACAC